TATTTTCCTCATCTATTGTTAGCAAATCTATCTTTTGCTCCTTCCCCTGGGCAAATGCATCATGTTATTGACACACTATATAGTGCAGTGAGAAAGAAAAATACACTTGGAGGAAGTCAAATTTAATTTATGACCAGCAATGCCCAACCCTTTGTGTGCCATTCACAAACATTTGCATTGTTTAATTAATACCCTACAGTATGAATCCCAATATGCTCTGACATGAGCCAAAATAGTCATACAAATCGTGTTTACCGCAATACTTGATCCCCGCAAAAGATCAGTAAGTATGTTGCATCAAAATATGACACATAGAAAGAAAAACTATAGTGGAGGAAACAGCAGGCTATCTCAAAATACAGTACAATGCTTTTGCTCAAAATTCTTTCTACAAATCAGCATATCACACTGTTATTTATATTCATTCAAATCACTGTGGCACTGACCCCAATTCTTATGTAACTGTACTTCAACTATTCGTATTTGTTTATTTTGCTGAATATTAATATGAATTATAATTTTAGTATGTAGATACCTAAATTGCTAAAATTAAGACCATTTTATTGCAATGCCTTTGGGGCTTTTAAAACAACCAATAAACTCCCTTCTAAAAATTATTATCACTGCTTTGCTTGTAGACGCATAAATGCCAAGCATAAACTCACCATCTCTTTTGAACACTCCGGCTATTTCCAACCATGCGTTTTGCTTCATTGGTCGCATTTTGTATCCCTCGCTATTCACGTCCCAGAGACATCGATATTTCCTGACTTCTTCTAGGAACATTTCCTTATAAAAATTAGCTGTCGGCTGAGGACTTGGAGCCAGATAACTATGAACAACATAAAGTTGAACGTTCAGTGGTAGAGAAACGTTTAATTCGGCGTCCAGAAAATCACTTTCACTCACTTCCACTCCCTGGTCAACGTCCGCCATTTTGAACAAAAATGCAGAAGATAAAAATTCTGCCATGTGATTGGCTAGCGACTTCTTTCGCCGCGAAAAAGTAGAAATCATTCGAATTCACATTTTCGTCGCAGCGAACAGCCTGATAATTTTATCGCTACAAATATGTGACGTCGACGTCATTAAGCGTATGAACATGCGTTTCTTCGCAAAAAAATTCGTAAGTGGAAAACCGCCTTTAGGACAGTCTGAAACCTGCTCTTAGCAAATGCAGTTATTACGTTGCAGTCAAACTCACAAGAGTCTGAGGTAGGTTCCAGACGGATGCAATTTTTATTCTTGTATATATAGGTCAGTGGATCAAACAACACTATGTTTGAGAATTGTTCTGAAAACAAAGGATTTAACAGCTCAGATGAAAAGTTAGGGGATGGGGATGGAATGTCGAGGGACGAAAAGTTAAATTTGTGAAACGCTTTGACGTAATTTGGCCTGTATAAATATGAAATAACGAGCATGGAATACTTAAAAAACGAAAGACAAAAATTCTCTATCTTGAACTGCCCTAAGTAAAGTGAGGAATTAAAACGTATATTAGTTTTCAAATCAAATACCGATTCGAAACAAGAAACACTGTGCAGTCATTGCAATGAACTATTCGCATCAGTATCTGAATGCGTGCACGAGCAAAAGACTATCTCTTAGGCCACCAAACACAGTCTAAAGTAAGTGTTATCCAACAGCGCTTGCTGTAAAATTCCTGCACAAAAATTCCAAATATCCTGGAAATTCATAGCACTGAAAATTAGAAAATACTTGACATCTTCAGTAATAAACGAGTCGAGAACTCGGGAGATTTTCTACAAATTTGTCAGTAATAAAGATCTTTGAACAAATTCTTTAAATAGCAGTAATGTATACGATTCTCATGCAAGGGAGACATCTGCCTTCCATGACCTCCCAGAGATATTCCATTTGTCACTCAAGGTACGGTTTGGCGTAACTTCAACAAATAGCAGGAGAAAAAAGAAAGTTTTGATACAACAATTTCTGCTCGTGTAAAAGAATAATTAAGACTTTATCAATTGATGTTCGACTCCCATTCTTAGCCATAAAGTTAAAAGCCCCTATTAGATTTTAATTGGTGGAATGAGGCGTACAAATGCACAACTTTGCTTCTCTCCCGAGGCTGATGTAGTAAAATTAAATGCGTTTGAAATTTACTCATTGTTCTTGTAAACCCATTTCTACAGATTCCTTCTTCCTGTTTCGATTCGAAGGATCAGAAAAAAACAACAAAAATCAAGATGCTGTGAAATTCATAATGTTGTTCTAGAAATACTGAAATACACACTAAAAAAACTTAACTAAACATGTGCAAGACTCGTGCAATCAACAATTCTCAAAATGGCGGAAGCCCGTGTATACTGAAGTGTGAAACATCGTCTTTGAAAGACGGACATAAAACATGGGATTGTTTTCTTTATCATGTTAAATCTACTAACAACTTCATTACTAACACAAGGTACTCAACGCGTCTTTTTCCAATTTTCCCAGCTATATTTTCAGCTTGAAATGCACACACCGCCATCTTTTTCGTATAATTGTTGATTTATTTATAAATTATTACCAGTGCATGTTGGATTACAGACTATTAAGTGATAATTCAGATACAATAATACCGCGCTACTTCTACGCATGCTCGTATATCTGACTGTAATATAGTTATTGTATTTGGTGCCACTGCATTGCTAATGACTAACTTGTACTTATCTCTTATTAACTTCACAAACTTTTCATTCGCTAATCATTTACTAATCATATAATTATTCAAATGCTTCTAAGATTCACCAAGTCCAGCTAGGGCTACAATAAAATATAACGAAGCATTTTACTTGGATATTCTGTTTCTATAACTACTATATGAGAAAACGTATGTATAGGGTTTGGCAAGTTGAATTTGTGTGAATTTTTCTGAAAGCCAAATGAAAACCAACGAATGTATTTACGTTTACCAACTGTCAATAGTCCCGTCAAAAATTTCCTTTTTTTCGCATACAGAGGCACCTGAGGAAGTCTGGGGCTGCAAGAGCAGAATTTTAGAAAAGCGCGCAATCGACCTTTTACCACAGGAATTACACGCGAAGGAAGCCTGATCGTATTGGTAGGAACACACGATTTACAGATCCACAAGAGGACAAACGGTAGAATGTAACGTTACAAACGCGAAGATCCACCAGTAAAAAAAAACCCAATAAATGCAATAAACGCAATATCACAGTTCCACGCAGTCAAATATATTCTCTGGCATGTAACCTTGGCTTCGTTTGTTCACTCAGGTTTAACCAAAATATTTTATAATAAACTGATATTTATTTGAAGTATATAAGGTTAGTACATACCTGAGTAACAACCATAAAGCTCAATTCGCATGCGAATGTCATTATACCAAGACACTGGATGTATACGAATATAACGAGCAGTGATTGGTGGAGACAGGTTATTTTTCACAATGGTATCACAGTCACTATTCCCATCAAATATCTAGGTAAAGTTGCAAATTAAATTCTAATGTATTTTCTTGAAAATCATAAAACCCTACCCAAATCTGTTTAGAAAATAATAAAACCGTTAAGTATGACGAAAGCACTTGACCATGCAGGCTTCCTATGATAGTACTGTACATTCAGTGACAAACAAACAACAGACATACTTTTACATAAACCTGTGCTACTGAGGAATTTCGTTTTGAACCGAAGCCGTTCTCCAACTAGGCCATACTTTTCGATCGAACGAATTTTTCGCTCGATTTTCTTTGTGACCGGTCAAAGGCATCCCCCAGGGTCGATTTTTCACAATTTTTTTAATACTTCATTTAAAATGGTAAATAATGTGCTTATTTTTTCACCGTATGAAATTATTATTTATGCATTGTGATTGCTCTAAAACAAAATTCCTTCTTCCTCATAGTTTATTCCTTCGGGAGTGCTAACTGGCTGCTAATAGTGTTCCAAGATTAAGAACAGCTGCAGCTATAAAGACAAAAGATCCACTATTACAAGGCGTTTTGTAAATATTTCCTCCATATTTAAATTAGCCAGCGTTACCAAAGCGATACCCCGGCTAAATATCCCGGTCATATGAGCCAATTTTATGAGCGAATAACTATAATCAGCTAAGGCTGATACTGAGGAGAGTAATAATTGATTTATTTGTACTAGAAATACATGCATGCAGCAACCTCTCACCATTTTAAACGAAGCAAGATATTTCCTGAGCTAGCCAGACCTAACCTTCAATATTACCAAGGTCATAAAATGTATTCGTACAGCAAACACGAAATAAACCTCGAAATAAACAAAATAGACTCCTACCATTTCAAGGTATATAATCGAGTTGTTCCTTTTCACCGCTAATTCCTCCCGTTCTGATAATATTTTAAGCTCTTCCCAGTGTTTTATCTGTTTTTTGATTCCACATTTCATATTTTGTTTTCGAAACATTTTTTTAAAAAATAGTTTGCAAAATGACAGTTAAATTGCTGACGTTTTTCACTGAAACACAAACTTTTCGTCTTAGCCAATCCGGAAGTTGCTGATTTCCAGTCCACACTAGTTCGCATTTCACGCATACGCACAAGTACCATGACCATTGAACGTCCATGACATTTGGGCAACTTTGGATTCCGCTATGTTCTCCCGGGTCCCGGGTGTAATTCCTAATCCCCGGGCGGAATTAGTACCCTCGCACGGTGCTCCGCACCGGCTCGGGGATGAGAAACTTTATAACAGTATTTTTTAACTGTGGCATGTCCACCGCTTAAAGTGGCTCGATGCAGTTTCTCGAATTTTTAATTTAGATGCACATTTTAAACAGGGATATCAAACATCTAAATATTTCGCCACAGGCCAGGTCTAAAAGTTAATATACTTTTGCAGGAGAAATATCTAGAGCAGAAATCTATTCAGAAATGGTGCCTGGCACCCGTTACCCTGGGAGCAGAGACGTTTCAAAATGCCCCCAAACAGGGTTTAATCTTATTTATGTTGCAAACGAGTTCGGTGACCCCCAATTATTAGTAATAAAAGTTTACGCTATAGATGCTTTATCTATAAAAAAGTTTTAAAAATTTTTAATATGTTAAAATGACGTTTTTGTAAATAGAAAAAAATCCCCATAACAGACTTTAAATAGATAAAGCATCAATAGCGTAAATGTTTTATACAAAGGAATTTGGGGTCACCGAACTGGTTTGCCATGTACACACGATTAAACCCTGTTTGGCGGCCATTTTGAAACGACTCTCTTGCAATGGTAACGGGTGGCACGCATAAGCTTTGAATCGATTTTCGCTGAAGATATGTTTCCTGCAAAGTATATTAACTTTTATCCTTCGAGCGAAATATTTAGATAATCGATATCACTGTTTAAAATGTACACTAAAAAAATTCGAGAGACTGTATCGAGAATCCGGTACCATTCGAATGGCCTGCCCAAGATTTATGAACTGTATTTTTTATACGCCCTGTACTGCAATAATTCTCACCTTATCATCACCCTCATCTTTGTAAGACTCGAATGTTGTTCCATTCAAACTATGCTTAACATAATAGGTCTTCACCCAACGATAATAACAAAAATGTGGATAACAATAATATCCTCCCTGAGTGGCAATCCCTGAGACAACTTCCTTCTTGCTAAGATCAACCTGTATCCACTGGTTCTTGTCGTTTGCTCCTGCTCTCCATCCTGCTCTCCATTGTCCATTGTTGTGCAATCGTCCACGAGCTGCTTTGGTCCATGCATTCAAATAACTCGAAGAAGTCAATTGCGAAGCTTTAACTTTACTCTTATCTTCCACGCCGAGTGTCTTTTCACCAGCTTTGCAAAGAATTGCATTCATTAGAGAGTATTTTAAAAATTTAAACTGCCGTTTGGACGAAACCAGATAAATCTAAATTTAATAACATGTTTATTCACCTCCTAAATATACAGAATAAAAGTCATAAGACTAGTTGCATATCACACAAGCGCTAGATATACATGACTACTCGGTTTCAAAGAAATTAATAACTACCGTTAATGAACTAATATAACCACTGTTTGGGCCAAATGAGCTCGGTACAACCGCTTAGTTTAGTACTAAACATTTTATCCCCGATCCGGTGCGGAGCACCGTGCGAGGGTACTAATTCCGCTCGGATATTTACACCCACGATGTGCAAATGCGAAATCAAAGTTGTCCGCCATTATGCAATGGACCTCACGCCATGGACGGTCTTCTACGTTATGCACGTGCGCCAGAGTGAACCACTAAGCTCTTGATTGGTCGAGACAAAAATTTGTATTTTCAAACGTCAATAACTAACTGTCATTTTGCAAAATTTTGATGAAATGAATAATTTTTATGTTTTCATAAAATAAAGAGTATATGTATTTTTAATTAAATTAGAGGGAAACTCGAATGTGGTCAGCACTTTTCACGGTTTAACAAATAACAAGACCAAATTTTTGACCGAATTCACCGTGTATAATAAAGTCGGAAGATTTTACACTTGATAATATTTCATCCACAGCTTTAAAATGTAATTCTTTCGTGGTAAACACAACTTTAATATTCTCAAATGTATTTCACTATAAATCTGAATGTGTTATGTAATAAACGACATTATAATTTCATTTATAAACTCCGTTTTTATAATAACAAAAAGAAAAGAAAATCAAAACATTCCCGTGCAAAAACCAGTCGAGGCGTTGCAAGTTGTATGAGACGTCTGATGTTATATTTCATGGTAATTAATAATTAAAACAAGACGCCGTTCTGGCGTTAACTCCGGCGCACGTGCCAGTCTTCAATATAGAGCTTCTGAACATAAACAATACAGTTCGCGTATTGTTTCGCATACATATTCGCATTTAGATACCTAGCGAACCTAAATGTTCGATCGCGAAATTCAGAAGCACATCGCAGTATAGAAGTTCAATTGTTCAAAAATGTAAATAAACCGCATGATACATTCGCTTCGTCTTACGCCTTTGGAATTTGTGCTTATATAGTTATATTAAATCTTCGATCCTGTGCAAACTACTACGCGGCGTGTCGACGCGCCCATACACGACGACCACATCATCTTTTTAAACGGCGAAATAGCAGCGAGATTACTAAAATAGGACCAGAATCTACATGTATTAAATATATTCTTACCCCAATTCAATCTAAACTTAATCGAACAGCATGAAAAGAACGGTTTATTTGTTCCTCTTGGAGAAATTGCCGTATCATGCGAGAGAAATCGAATCGCGCATTGGAAAATTAGCCAAAGCTGTGTACCACAACTCTTGGGAGATAATACTGGGACGTAGATAAATACGGTCACATACACATTTTAGATACTAGAATATTTCGCGCCATTTCTGACTTGCGACGACGAAAAATAAAAACAAAACAAAAACAAAACAAAACCGGGGCGAATTTTCAACTCCGTCGCTGACGCCGGAGTAATAATTTACCATAACACTGACTATAAATGAGTAACTTAAATTCCAGAAAAAGGTAAGAATCTTGTCGTATTTTTGCCATTTTTTCACAAAAATATGAGGGTAAACTTTGATTCTTTAAAAATATACGGCCGTTGCGAGTTGCTATGACTACAGTGCTTCCACGTGCAGAAAAATATTTCCACACTTTTCTCAATTTCTTTTTCTCACATACGTATTTTTCTAACAATCATGTTACCATCCCTATGCTTAATTAATAACTAATTTTGTTAAACCGAGGCGAGGGGTTTCTGCATGCATGTATTTCTAGTAACAAAAAACTATTTCTTGTGGGAACAATTATAGCCAGCACTGAGCACGGGCCAAAGAAGTGCAATCCATTGCCTTAACTTTTTTTAGAATATGATATGATATATTTTCGTAGAAATAAGAATTTTGTGGAGTTAAATTTCTTTGTATTACACAAAGCGAGCTGCACATGGGCACAAACATCATGGGGTCCTGACATATGGACTTTTGTTTACCTTCTGTACCGTTTAAAGTTGTAAACGATTTTAATTTTTGCAAAACGCAACTATAATTATGGAAAAGAAAACGTTGTCCCTACTGAAATGCGCATACGGCTAAATTAATAAGTCTCTTATGATTACAGCGAGCAGCAGCTTGTAGATTTGAATGGTGTGAAAAGAAGTGCCGAATAGTCTTGAAACGATAACCACCCCCACCCACTTGGGGACGGCAGTCACGAGAATGCTGTTCGCTTGCGATCCTGTATATAAGTAACGGTGTTGACTGCCAATTTTCACACTTTCTTTTCAGTGTATTGTACAAATACGCCATTCCGAAGAAAATTTTCAAATTTACAATTACCATCGGCGTCAATCGAAGATTAATTGAGGGGGACCATATTCATATATTCTGTTATGCCAGGCTTAATTCTATTGAAAGTGAGTTGTTTTCAAAAGAAATTAGCCAGGCATAGCTGAATATATGAATTTGGTTCCCCTCAATTAACGTTGGATTGACGCCAATGACAATCACTACTTGCAAACTTCTGCCTGCACTGCTTCTAATCCTACCTCTTTGACAGCAATAAAGTTCCACTCTCAAGGAAATGTGATTGTTCCATGTCCTTGGGTGTATGCGGATATAACGAGCTGTTACAGCTGGTGATAAGACATTTGTCACAACAGAATTTCCTTCCATATTTCCATCGAACACCTGAAAGGAAATGTTGAATGGTCCTTGTATTTTTACTATTTCTTATTTTACTTGGGTCTCTTTATACTAAATTTTAAAAGATTGGCTTAAATTTCAAAGCAGTATAAAAAGTAGCAAAGCGCAGTTGACCCAGCGTCCCTCAGTAAGCAGAGGACAAATGGGAAAGTCACCCTCTCTGCCCCATGACTCAGGCGTCCCTGCCTAAAAGCGTCTATCGTTGACTGAATGACAATATACAATATTAATTTTTTCGAACGTGATTGACTGCCGGGCTCTGTTCACGAATTTGAATCAAGTCATTCTAAAATCAACATACCTACCGCGCGGGAGCAAAAACTACTAATGTCACACTTTGTAACATAACTAATGAATAACCAGAGATTCCACCATAAACCTCAACCCTCTTGAAGCTTCGTGACATTATGTATAAAACTTCAGACCAAAATCCTTCAAGTATTATCCAGCAATTAACCATAACTCCGGCAAATCATCACAGTTTTAATACTTAATTAATGATATGAATCGTCATACTAGGTAAGGTTTTTTATTTACATTAGACCGTCCTTATAAAGGAAGTAGGGAATGATGAAAAGAGACAAAAATATTTTAGCGAAAACTACAGAGTGTATAAAAAAGAAGACTTCAATTGTTATAATTTAAAAGTCCCGTCACTGTGCTATGCCTTTGGATGTGTTAGATATTGTCAGTTTTGTGCATATTTTACATATCTTTGTTACAAGCACAAAAGCCTTTCTGCTCCTGGGAATTTGACAGAACTTCCAGAAGCAAAATTCTCTCTTCAGAAGCAATAATGCATGGTAAAAAAGAGTTTTCATCGCCCAAACTTATATCCAGATGTAAAGTACAGGTGTGGTGCAAAACACGTTTTGAGAAAGGTCCTTGATCGAGATTCACCAGTGAAAAGCACAAACTTGCAAAGCAATTTCGTCAGATTGTGGAAACACAGTGAGTGTTACAATTAGGTCATGAAATAAGTACATTGGCTGCTACTGGATCACATTTTATGATCAGAAAAAATATTCATTTCCCTCTGGAAACTGTCTGCTAAAAGACAGTTAAAAGTGGATAGCAATCTGATTGAATAATAGCTGTGCTGGATTAAACAATTACTTAATGGTTTACGTGTTTGGATGGCTTGATCCAAACACGCGGGAATGTTGCGAGAGTGAAGAAAAGCGCACTGTGTCTCGATTGTTTTAATACTTGAATTACCAAATGTTCTTCATTTGCTGCGTTGTGTCTACCATGTTTGCAGAGGACTTTAGTGGAGGTTCGAATTAGCGGGATACAAATTGGACGATCAATGCAACAACGTGATTTTGGTTATTTTCTCATTTGTGTAATTGTGTGTGTGTCTCCGAGTAGAGAAGAATTAGTTATATACAGATGATATTAATTGAAGATGCATGCAAGTGTAATTTGAACTGTTAGTTTAAGTGTCAACCAATCAAGTGCGTTCTAGTGCGTTGCTATATAAAATTAGCTATTACTATTAGTGCAAATGTCCATGTCAATTCTCGACACAATGAAAAAAATCCTGACTTTTTCTACACTAATCTAATAATAAGATTATAATTTCTTTAACTTCTTACCTTCTGAGTTGCATAAATTTTGTATGAAGTGAGGTTTGCTTTATCCACACCGTAAGAGATCGAATAAGTCTCCACCCAGTAACTACGACCAGAACCTTGAGTGGCAATCGCTGTAACAAATTCCTGGTTGCCAAGATCGACTTGGAGCCATTGGTTCTGTTTCTTATTTGCGGGACGCCAATAACCTGCACCGTTTAATCTCCCTTTTAATGCAGAATGTCCTTTTCTTTAGTTGATGATGTCATCTGAGAATTCTTTATTCTTCCATCTTCCACTCCAAGTGGAGCCTCACTGGAGTTGCAAGAACCTTAATTGTTGTAAGAAGTTACAAAAAAATAAGTTATGCGTGTTTAAGATATAAGAGGTCTTTTCGATCATTGCGTGCATTGGTTACTTGAAGAGGCCAAGTGAATTAATATACAATTAATTAATGGTTTCCGTGTTTGGATGGCCTGATCCAAACACGGGCTTCAATTAATCAGAACACGCGTTATATACATGTTATTTTATAATGCTACATACCAAATCATGCCACAATGGAAAAAGGGAACTGGGATCGGATGTCAGTAAAAAAATAGAATTAGAATGAATCGGTGCTACAAGAAGAATATTTTTTACGAAATGTTATGTCGTTAAATAGTTCGTTAAACGTTTCTCTAATACACCAAAGTTCACCGCCGTAATTGTAATGCGCAATAATTTAATGCTAGTAACTTAATACTACATCATCCCCCCCCCGTCCGTTCCTGCTTATAATCATCAATACCCATTGTTATATATTGCCTTGATGTTCTAGTGTACGCAGACATTTGCTCGGTGCAAATGCATTGAAATTCTAGCTCATAATTATGATCTCAAATGATAATATTTCACTGCACCCAACCCTTCACCCGCAATTGAACGCTATGTTGAGGTTAATTTTGGATATGCGTGGTACTGGAAACAAGTGAATGTTGAGTATTATTTACCTGTGTAGCAACATATAACTTCGATTCTCATTGATATGCGATTAAACCAAGACACTGGGTGTATGCGAATATAACGCGCATTTATTGCTGGATATAAGAGATTTGTCACGACAGAATTCTTGTCATAATTTCCAGCGAATACCTTTATAAATTATAAATGATGGATGAAATGAACACCTTGAGCATTAGACTACTTCTCATTTAGGAAAAGAAATAAAAATATATAACCACAGATATCAATAAATAAATAAATATATTACAGCCGACAATTTCGCAAAATATAATAAAACATATACGAAAATAAACATCTTGTGAACACAATATATGAGTTTTTATCAAAGACAAAAAAAATTTTGTGGTATCTTGACTGATTATTCTTTTTAAATCTATTGTCAATATAACTATTATTTATTTTAGTACACGTTTTGTAGCTGTGATTATTCAATTGAATTTCCACCCCCAGAGTTCTTGACTCAGAGATTGAAAGTAATTTAGAAGAATCTTGGGTAACAATTAGTTTTCTTTCCCTGAGAAATCCTGAAGAAGTCATAGGCTCTGATTGCTTGTACGATGACGATATAATAAAACGATTATTATCTTTTTAGCTGCTCACCTTCTGAGTTACATTAATTTTGTATAAAGTGAGCTTTTCTTTGTCAACACCGTAAGAGATCGAATAAGTCTTCACCCAATAACGATTAGAACCAGAACCTTGAGTGGCAATCGCTGTAACAAGTTCCTTTTTGACAAGATCGACTTGGAGCCATTGTTTCTGATCATCATTTGTGGGACGCCAAGAGTCTGTACCGTTTAATCTCCCTTTTGATGCAGAAAATTCGCTCAGTTTTGCAGTTGATGATGTCATCTGCGAATTCTTTATTCTTCCATCCTCTACCCCAAATGGAACTTCGCTGGTGTTGCAAAAACCTTGTTGAAAGAAATGCAAAAAAAGTAAGATACGTATGTAAGACATTTTGTTCAGTAAATGATGATATCTGAGAATTCTTTATTCTTCCATCCTCTACTCCAAATGGAACTTCGCTGGTGTTGCAAAAACCTTCGTCGTAGGAAATGCAAAAATGTAACTAAGATAAATGATTGGTGCTTAGATCAGCTGGATATTATCATGAAAGATAATAATTCACGCCACCCGACTCTTCCACAATCCACCGCTTTATTGGAGTTAACTTAGAATGGGCGTGTTGAAGGTAAACGAGGGACTGGAAACAAATAAGATATGCTCAATGTTGAGTATTATCTACCTGTGTAGCAACCAATAACTTCGATTCTCAAGGATATATGTTATTAAGCCAAGACACTGGGTGTATGCGAATATAACGCGCATTTATTGCTGGATATAAGAGATTTGTCACGACAGAGTTCTTGTCATAATTTCCAGCGAACACCTTTATAAATTATAAATTATTGATGAAGTCGACTTTTCACAATATATTTATAAGCTACTTTTGATTAAGACACACTGGGGGTGAAAGTGGTAACAACCTCTGGAGAGTGTTCAAAACTTTAATAATCTAATAATAATATGATTATTATCTCTTTGGCTGCTCACCTTCTGAGTTGCATTAATGTTGTATGAAGTGAGGTTTTCTTTATCCACACCGTAAGTGATCGAATAATTCTTCAGCCAATAACGATTAGAACCAGAACCTTGAGTGGCAATGGCTGTAACAAGTTCCTTTTTGCCAAGATCGACTTGGAGCCATTGGTTCTGATTGTCATCGTCGGGACGCCAAGAAGCTGCACCGTTTAATCTCCCTTTTGATACGGAAAATCCATTTTTTTCGGTTGATGATGACATCTGAGAATCCTTTATCCTTCCATCCTTTAGTCCAAATGGAACTTCACTGGTGTTGCAGGAACCTTGTCGTAGGAAATGAAAAAAGCAAGGTATGTACAACATAAAATCCAACAGAATCACTTCTTCAATAATTGCTTACATTGGTTACGCGGTTATTGTATTGGTATTATTATTATTATTATTGGTATTAGATAAGGTGTAAATTGTCTCTCTTTTATCTTTTTATATGTTTAATAATTGAAGAGCTTATTCAAACAAGACGCCTACTAGGCGTTATATGATCGCGTCGTTCACAGCGGCGTAGCCAGCCCAGCTATGCAAATTTTGTGTCGTAAATGTTCTTAATAATAAAAATGAACAATATACCGAACTATAGTCGCATGTTGAAAGCAGGAGAAACACAAAACAGCCCATTTCGAAACTGCTTGAAATCCTTTAGTTCAGGCTTACTCGGCTCGGCGTGTGCAGTTAGTTATATGTGTAATGAGTGTAAAGATAAAGATAACACTTGCTAGCATTTTGATCGCTTTATTGATTCTACTTTACTGCTTCGAAGTTCGAAGGTGAAACGAAATATGCCCAAAGTGAATACAACACGTAATATAACTAGCAACTTACCTGTGCGCAGGTTCCCGATTAGGGTGATATGGCCCGCAGCTAGCGACGCTGGGGGTCGACCCGAGAGGAAAAAAAAAAAAAAAAACCAAGCCGAAACTATAGATCGCTGTCGCTACGCGACGCGATCAAAAAAGTAAATTGATCATCCACTGTTATAGTCATACAGTCATACATGATATAGTCATAAATGTATCATGTACAGTATGTAAGAAATAATGTTTGCCGTGCTCAAATTTGCTTATTTTAACTTATTTACCTCTAAAATGCTCCACTTAAATCTCTTTCATTAATTATCAAATTGCTTTTTAAGGTAATTGAAAAAATACAGTATGTGTAAAACAGTAAAAGCATGAGAGTTGACACACATTCTACAATTTCCCAGCAAGCAGGAGCAGGCCCTTTATATATATGGGCCTACATGTATATAGGCCTACATGTAGTATGGCACTGTGATACCTGTGTGCACTTAAAATTTGAACTTGATATTTAAAGTTCAATGTTTGTGCAACACAACCCATTTGCCCAGCTGTGACCACAAATTCATGCTATAGATTTTGGAGTTTGCAGGTTTTGATAATTAATCAATCTTGTTAAAACTGAAACAAATTTTTGTTGCACCATAATATATAGATCCTTCATAAGAATGCACCATAATAGATCCTACAGCATGACTACATCATATACTTGGCATTTTTTATTATTCTGAATGCTGTAACATTAATATTGAATAGTTGTATGACTATAATATATTTTAAAATATTGGTATTTGATTCAAGTAATTACTGGTGAATAATATATTTAACAAATAAGTTTTAAGTTTGTCAGCAGTTTTGTTGCACCCACAAACTGTGTTGAATTTTCATGGGGTGTAGTTGACATAGTCATTTTAATTAAACAGGGAATATAGAGAAATACATTCAAAGAGAAGTGGAATCATGAGTAATTGTCACACAGAAGTCGATTTTGCAATTAGAACTGCTCAATATTTTATGTTTTATTCATATTGTATATTTTGCATGTATACCTACATTTATGATAGACTTAATTAACTTTCATATTTCTAAACATCACTGCAAGGATGGGATTTTCGCCCTGAGAAAAAGTGTTCTCAATCATGACCAGGTGTGGTGTATAGCATTTATATTGTTCTGCAACTGAGGTTATAGTTGTTTCTCTCATTTACATTTTAGCGGATGAAGATATCTCAAAAAATGGGAAAAAGAAGTCAGCCCCTACATCATCTTCCCCAGTTATTATACCATTGCTCCCTGTTGCACCGAGCTTTTCATCAAATCCATCGAATGAAATGAGTCTGCCCATGGCTTAGAGAAAGGGTTTGTCAACCTTCGATGTGAGCAATAGCCTGGGTCATCATGATGTTCTTCAAGATGGTTCAGTTGTAAATGCAGTCAATCAGGTGTTCTCTTTAAATCCCAGTGATAAGCATTGAATGTGTTTTTATGTGTAATTAAATATGACCAGTGCAAATCACATATTCTTTTGAATAATTCGCAAAATCGTCTTTCTGATGCCTGATATTTTGAAAGTAGTTAAATAAGGTCATACTTAGCTTTTTAAAAAATGGTAATGAGCATACTGCAGACACCCTGGTTTGCCATTTGTTCTGCCACGTACTGTTTTTGTTCAGGATAAATTAATTAATATAAATATTTTACTTGTAGTTACACTTCTTCCTTGCTCTGTGTGGGCATAACCATGGTGTTAGCACAAGAAGAATCCTGGCTAAGGTCGGAACAAACAAGCTGTGGTCATTATATAGTCTGAAGGGGGAAAAGCAAAGCGGGCATTTAAAGAACTTGCTGTCTCAAAAATTGTTATCAGTAAGTATAGCATAGTATATTTGTACATTATTGTTTGGCCCATGATATTTGTGCCAGGCTTTACCAGGAAATAATGAATTATAATGTATTCTGTTTGGTGATGAATGTACCCATGTACTGTACAGGTGCTTTAGTGCTAATCCACCTTTCGAACAACTGGCTCATTGCTATTAACCCTTTCTGATAATTAGCTATAATTGTTCTATTTTTGTTCAATTATAGAGGCCTGTCTACGTGTTCACAAAGGTGTAAGTGAAATAGACATCGAGGAACAAATTGCAGAGTATTTGAAGCATGCTCCACAGAAATCCGGTGGCTCTAGATACAAGGTAACTATAACTCACCTCATAATTGCTAGAGTACGAGGCTCGCATTACAGCAATGCGGACCTCTTCACAATCTTTGTCACAATCGAATTTTCAAACTCTAATACTAGCCACTAGTAAATTGCAAACTACATATACAGGAGACGCGCGTCTTACGGTCCGTATATGAAAATTATCTTATATAGACTCTAATTAATGTTTGACATATTACCATAAATTTGAAGGGCTTATATGTACAACATATACCTAACATTTATTGCGTTTTTTCTTTGCAGGATCGTAGGAACCAGGAGCAAGGAAGTGCATAACTTATTTTATGGTGTACATTTTATCTAAGGCCTATTTACACGATGCGATTATAGTGGTATGCGATTCTTATCCAGACGTATGAAAACGATTGCTGATGCCAGTCTTTCTGTTCCTCAGTTTATTAAAACGAAATTTAAAATTTGACATCTTTACACACGTATTTACTCGAATACATACGCCGGTATATGAATCGCATACGACTAATCGCATCATGTAGATAGGCCTTTTGGCATGATATACATATATATATAATACAGAATATTGTAAATGGTTTGATTCGTATTAATTTTATACATGTATACACAGTTAAGTTTATTTAAATAAATTGCATTCTATCCTGTGCATCATGTTGTATTGTTGACCAATAATTTAAGCAAGATAAAAATTTTTAACATGCATATATTGCATGAAATTTGATAATTCAAGGACTTGTCTGAAAAATGCCTTTCAAACTAATGAGGACGTTTCATACCAACAGTTAAGTGAACGTTCACTGTACGTTGTTGGAACGTTCCAGAAACGTGCTATGAACGTTGTATAAATGTCCAAACGTCGACCGAAGGTTGAACGAACGTAAAACTGGTACGTCAATCCCGACGTGTTTAATCCGTTCGTGGGAGTTCACAAAAGTACGTTCCAACGACGTTAATTACAACGTAGTGTGTACGTTCGGCAAACGTTCGTACAACGTTGCTACAACGTAATTGTGTTAGCTGGGATAACTCTAACTATAAGAAAAATGAAATACAAAACATGGAGCAATTTTGCTGTGAGAACGAAAAATAAAGTGGTCGACGTCTGTGTTAAAAATATCTGGGCATGCATATGTTAAAGAAAAAAAACAAAAAGGAAAGATTTAAGCTGATCTCAAACGAAACGATCCTTGTTTTGACAAAGTTCGTCGACATTTGTGTTATAAAAATATCACTTTCATTGGCTTATCATTAATTTTATATTATCTGAGAACTATGCTCCTATTGATGTTGTCAAATCCTTTTTTGTTCTCATTTTTAGTGTATAGACAGTGTACAGAAGATACACTTCCATCATCACTGCATGGTCAAGGCTATGGGGTTATAACTTTATTCTTACTTGCACCAAAACAATTCGAGAAACTGTATCGAGCAACCTTAAATAATGGTTAAAAAATAAACGGCAAACTATTAAATATATTTTGAAAGGTATCGTAAAATTGAAATTATCTAAATAGATTATAATATATCATTTGTAATTATGGATATAATTGTGTTTATCGACTGGTTTTATTAAAATAATTGTTCGGTAAAATTTGTACAACTTTTGGTTTGCCATTTTTCCAATTACAAACCCGGATCTAATTCTAAATATACGGGCCGTGTTAGCACTTTTGCACGGCTTTTGGCCTGGTTCGGGGATTATCTGAAATCTGCACTTTCCTCGACACATAACCAATGCTTATTTTATTCATTTTATCATACTTGATGTCGCAGAATCTTTGTCTTTTGTCACTCTTGATGTGGATGGTACTTTAAAGAAAATTATATTTCGTTCGCTTATGCGGTTATAAAAATATTACCTTCAATATATAATCGGGAAAATATATACCCACACTCTTTATCAGTGGTTTAATTCATGCTTTGGTATATTTACTTAAACTTACGTGATGTAGCCGAGATCATTCTTGTTGTTACTTTCGGTGTTGATGGTTCTGTAGAAAAAATATTAAATACAAATAAAACTTTTAAGAAACTACATATTTTACTTTCAGTTTTTATTTGTTATCTAAAAAAAGGCATGTACCCGCGCGGTGGGCTTTCGATCCTACTTGAAATTCAGGACATAATTTAAAACAAGAAATCCTAACTTTAAATATTTTATGACTTTGTGAAAATTTTGTGCAGAGACATCGTCAGATAAAGATATTTAAATAGAATGACTAGTGTTTTCATTCGATATCTTAATTACGTATGAACTATATGTAAATTCAACACTGCGAACAAATTCACACTCAAGTTAATTGCTTTAATTATTTTTTATTTAATTTTTATTAATTTCAGTATATTGACAGGAAGATACACTTTCATCATTACACTGCATTTATCTTATCCTTAATTACTCGATTTAACTGAATTATTTTGATTTGTTTTTCTTGGTGTATATGGTACTATAAAAATATCATATTTTGTTTGCCAAGACTTATCAGAGAGATTCACTTATATTATTTCTGGGTTGTGCTTTAGCGTATATTTTCTTCTTACTTGTTTTAGTAGAAACGTTATTTGTCGTTTCTTGCGATGTAGATGATGATATAAAGAAAATCATTTTTCATTTTTTTTCCGCCTTGTGTTTTAAAAATATACAAAGATACACTTTTATTATGACTGGGCTTTGTTTCAGCGTATATTTTCTTCTTGCTTGTTTCAGTAAAAACCTTATTTGTTATTTCCCGCGGTGTAGATGTTGCTGTAAAGAGATCATATTTCACATATGTAAACGTAAGAGTATTATTTCCAGATATCTGAGGTTTATACTCTGTGTCGAACGAAAAGTTGGAAATTCAATTAAATGAAAATCAGCGAGATAAAGAGCTTCTCCTGCAAAGGGAAATGGAAAAAAAGGAGAAGGAAAACTGGTATATCGTCCTTAGTCAATAGTGAAAAAGAATTGAACCAGTAGAATATAACACAAATTGGCACTGTTGTAATATTTTGTATGACCTATTTTACGTTTCAAAACAGCTTGACTTTTGTTGGCATAGAGTTAACCATTTTCAATTCTATTCCATAATTTATTAAGAACGGTCCACTGGTTTTTCTTCTACTTTCTTCCCATTTTCCCTTGCAGGAGTAGACAACAATGTTAAAATGGCACGAAAATGTTCGAAACTCGTTATGTCACCTCCAATCGTGACATGCGGAAAATATCCGCACTGTACCCCGGATGTAGTCAAAGAGATTATAAATAACACTAGAGGGGACATTGGTATTGGAAACATCAGTCAAAAAAGGGAGCGCGATAATGAGGGGCAAATTCAAGTCCCGGATGCTAAGCCAAGCGCTGATTGGCTAGATCAATGCCTCCTTAGCAACCACGTTAGCAACAATTTTAAAAAACTTATATTCGTTATTTAGGTCGCTTTGCCTGTTTTTTAAGGAAAAACAGTGCTTTTTGAAACTGATTCTACTAATTTTGATATCCTGAAACGATATTTTAGGAAAAAAACATTTAGAAATAAAAAAAACTCGTTAAAAACGACTTATTTTGGCCTCGGATATCGTGAATGAGTGAACATCCGGGACTTGGCTTTGCCCCCCATTAACGCGCTCCCCAATTTCTCCTCGATGACCCCTCTAGTGTTATTTATAATCTGTATAGGATGTAGTGGCGTATGAGTTCTACGAGTGTTATAGTTCTCAGTAAAATACCCCCATCCTATATCAGTGGTTAAATTCATTCTTTGGTACATAGAGAATGTTTCGTCTCGGTTTTTATTCTGTGGTATTCACTGAGCCGGAGGCAAATAATTGTTAAGCGTTTTATAATGTTCACAATCATGACATCACGATATATCGTTCTATATGTTTTAAAGCAGTGTCATGAGCCTTCCATAGTAACAGTCTCACGTGTCGTACCTGTTTCTTGGCGCTGTGTCGCCTGGGGATTTGGGCTGGTTTGAACGCGATCTGTTGGCCCCTAAAAAATTTGAAATATACGAATGTAAATAAGGGTGGTCCCGAATAAACTGACTCTTCTGTGATGGCCACCTTCAATAAACATATAATCATAGTTTAGAGTCGCTTAATATATATATGTTATTTACCAGATTGGAGGTCCGTATAGGGAAATATTTCCCAAGGTCTCAGAAACAGCCCGAGGCCGTAGCCCGAGGGACGTTTTTGAGACCGAGGGAAATATTTCTCTGTACGGACCGACTAAACTGGTAAATAATTTTTTTTGTTCTTGCTGTCCGAACTCATATTTTAGCGTTGGCTCTGTGCTTTTAAATCACGCGCGGTCCGCACAGCCTCATACGGACCGCTCGCGTAGCTAATCACGCTAAAATATCAATTCCGCAAGAAAAAATAAATGTATACTGATATTTCGGAATGCTACAAGCGCGGATGTTGATATATTTCAATATTCACTAAATTAAATACAACTGTAGCACGATTAAACCAAAGAAAAACAACAAATATTCTCTTGGCTTCATTTACCGATCCTTTATTTAAAGCATTTGAGCCGGGATATTTAGGTTTATTATGTCCTTATAGATACGCATGCGCAGTTATCACAGATTTATCAGTAGCCGTTTAAAGATACGCAATTATCAGATTTTTATTAAATGTCACCTCCTGTCTCTGAGCAATGGGGATTTACTCCAATTAGGTAGATTTGCATATCGATTTAGAGACAGATATATATATACTCACTTCATCCCATATTACAAGTTTGTAGTGGTCAAAGTTTGAATCAATCAGAGTTTTCATCAAGTTTTCAGGTTCTTCTGAATAGGAGGTGTTGAGTAACTCACAATTTGTTTCTGCTGAGGACGTTGTGTTTTTCTTGTAGTTTACAGATCTGCATGAATTTTCATATTTGTAACACGCAGCGATGCAATACTTTTCAGACTTTTCGTAAATATACTTCCATGATTCTCGATGTATTACTTTCCAGGCGGTGACCTTTGAAATAAAAAAATACGTAGAAAACGTTTGTAGCTCTATCCTCTGATCTTCCTCAATCTTCTAAACTTCTTTTCAATCCTAAGAACTGGACCGTAGCGGATCACATTACACTAGAACGGGCCGTTTACACTACAGTTAATTTATTGGGACGGCACGGCTAAAATTGCACGGACTCAGGTTATCCATACATATTAATTAAAGGCGGGGACGCGTGAAATAAAAAATACACAACTGGAGCTTGAAATAGCATCTCGAAACTCGGTAGAATTATTAAAATTTTTGTAATTTTTAATTGTGAGAATTTGAGAAATTGTGAGAGCGTTCACTAGGGATACAATTATCTCGCTAGAGCATGTAATGCCTAATTT